CCTGTGGAGAGCAAATGGATCCGGCATCACTCTTCACTGGAATTGAGTGTATAATGACCCTGAAGAGGGATTTTTTTTCCCTAAATTTGCTTACCCGGTCTTTTCTATCAACACGCTCAATGCCTAAGGCCTATAGATAACCCTCGACCAGATCCACACCTTCTCACTTGGAGTTCCTGCTCCACACATGTGATTGGGCCCTAGACAAGATGAGCAGCTGGGTCACGACTAGAAGGCGGAAGGGGCCACAAGGCTTTAAGGCAGGGCAGCATTCACTCTGAGGGTCACAGTACCCTGTCCCAGGCTTTTTACCAGCCTTTCTCTAGCCCCAGCATAGTAAGCCAGCCTTAGCACAAGAAAAGTCTTCAAGGGAATGGAATCTGGGAAGTTGAGGGAAGGGGGACTTGGAGAAGTGCCTGCTGTATATATGAAAGGAGATGAAGATTATTTAATGCTATTCTGGAAGAAAAATCTGAGCTAATTTTAACTTCAAAAAACTTGTTATAGACGAGGGGCTGATATTTACATTCCACTGAATGCTTTTCACAGTGATGTCACTCATCCAGACGGCTCTGAGCATCTGTGCTCTTGCTGCCAAATGAGAAGTCATTAGTCAGGCCAACTGACTTGTCAGAGAACAGAGCTGCAGAGTGACAGGAAGAACTACAAATCAAAGCAGCACTGACTTCTCTAAAGCCCAGCTTGGAACAACAGCACCCAGTACTCTGTGTCAAATTATAATGACTAAACTTCAATATTGCATGCCAGCCATCTATCTGGGATGACATTTTAAAACACCTCAAAAAGAAATAAAAACAGACACCTCTACGGGGTGGGGTCAAATCAACATGTCAGCACAGGTTTGAGGTGTGATACCACACAAGTTAGCTTCTGAGGCCACCAGCCTGGGGCATAAAGATTTAGGATGCTTACCCTATCTCAAAGAAGTATACAAATATTCATTGCTCTTGGATCCTGGGATGTGGGAAGGACTGGGAAGCTGGGAACAGGGAGAGACCTAGATTTTCAACCTCATTAACAGTAGAAAATTACAATGGACTTAGATTTCCCACCCAGGGCAGAGCAACTGGAAGCCCTTTTTTGAAAACCCGATACTGGAGTCCAGTTCCAAGCAGTTAGATGGGAATCTCTGGAGTAGACGCTGGTGTCCAGGTGACCTCAGTAGACAGGCAGGACCATACACTGTTCTCGGTGACACAGCAAAGTAGGGACAGAGTAAGTGATGTATAATAAATCTACTTTTGCCCAAAACAGATCACTAGGTATAAAGCAAGAGTTCTAGTAATCTGAATTAACTGTACTTAAACACCTCAGGCCTCTTGAAGTTTTTAATTAAATTATAAATCTTTCTCCAGCTGTTTACCCTTTGGGACCGTCAGCTCCTTGACATCGTGACACCACAGGTGCAGAGGCCAATTAGTTGTGTGCATTTCATACTCTTTCCAGGACACAGCAAATGATGACCTCTAGAGAAGTCTGAGGTCAGAGGTCAGGGTTAACCTCTTGTGCATTTCCTTACTGCTAGTTATAATTCAACCAATTTTCAGGAAAAAATGGATCAGCATGAATGTTGCTAAGCAAATATTCAGTAGTAAGTTGGCAAAGCAACTTGTTTATCTGATTTAGAGACCAGTGAAACTCTAACTCTGTCCTTTCGGGTGCTCCAGTACACCATGTTTAAAACACTGAAGCAGGCAGTGACAGTCCCTGGAATATGCCCTATGGAAGAACATTCCATCAGAATCCATCCCAACCAGTGGACAGACATTATCCCTGATTTTAGATCAAATAGGTACCATGTTGACATTTACTTATGGGTCCAAAAGATGCCCATCACCTATTCAAACCTGGGGGACTAGAAAGGACCCTTAAACCATGGTAGTCAATCTACATATTTACAATATTTGTAATTTTATCAACGAGATTCATTTTTGGCATGTATTTCGCTTATTTAAAAAATAGCTAGGGTTGTGGATGGTGGTGTGAACCGTTAGTTCCAGCACTCAGGAGGCACATGGGTCTCTGTGATTCAAGGCCAGCCTGGTCTATAAAGCAAGTTCCAGGACAGCCAGGGCTGTTAGACAGAGAAATTCTGTTTTGAAAAACCCTTCCAATACATACACACACATACATACATACATATATATACACATACACACACACACACACACACACACACACACACAGAGTAGCCAGGAGTGGTGATGCATGCATGACTTTATTCTCAAAACTTGTCAGAACTTGTAATACAGGGGCAGCAGATCTCTGAGTTCAAGGCCAGCCTGGTCAGCCTGAACTATAGTGATCCATTAAATTTAATAACTTATGATTTGATATTCAAAGAGCTGGTAAGTTGGAGGAACTGTTTCATTCCTAGTCTTTCTCTTTCTGTTGTCATTCCAAAACCTGAGTGAGAAATATCTACTTCCTATGACCTCTGCTTACTCCAGAAGAAGCATTTCAGGAGCTTCTCGTGGGGGCTTATGAGCATCCTGAATTAGTTTCTTAAGGAAGTTCATATGGTTCTTATGATACAAATTGTTTGACATTGTAGTTCAGTGCTTGGGTTTCAGAGCAGTCTGCCCTGGTTTCTTTATTGTCTTCACTGTCAGAGAATTCCAGGTCTTTTTTTTTTTTTAAGATAAATAAAAACTAAGTTACCCATTTCACCAGTAAAATACCCTTTGAGTATTCAAGATGCTGTCTGTTTCTGTTGTGGAACATTCATCACTGAAGAACTTGTGGTTTCTGGTCTCACAGTGCCTGACCGTTCAGCTAGGATGCTTGACACATTAGGTGACCATCTATGGAAGCAAAGCTTCAACTGAGAATGCACTGTCTCCCATATTACACTGTAAATTACAGCTAATCTAACAGTGTCATTATGTAGCACAGGGACCTTGTAGTGCTCAATATTTTGGATCTTATTTTCCTATATTTCTGAAAGTATTCTTAGTGGCTGGCTAATAAAAGAGAATGGCTGTGTGTCTCTGGAGTTATCTGGCTTATTTGGGAGACACAATGCTATTGCTGGAGCTTCTAATGCATAGGCCTGTGACTAAATCATTCCATAGCTTGTATTAAAGATGGTCTCATGCAAGCCAGCCTCTGCTTATTCCTAGGGCCACTGGATTGAACTCACCTATCTAGATGATGAATCAGTCTTTGCTCCAATGACTGCTTGCTCACAGTGCATTGTAACTTCCCCAATTTAAGGAAGCTGGGTTGGTACTCAGCATTCTCTTCAAATGTTTCGTCCTTGTTTATCATGTAAGCTTGTGATACACCTTAGGGCACCGTCACTGGAAGCCAATATAACCCAGATTACTTTGCATTTCCTCTCTGAAAGCAAATCTACATTTTTATAAGTTCCTAGAAGTAGATGTTCAAATTCTCATATTAAATAGACATTTATTGAGTTACCACTGAACACAAAGCAAAAAAACCCACAGAGTTCCAAACAAACGACCAGGTGTCCATGCTATGACAGACACTCAGCAAGTCTACAGAGCGCACGGCTAGCCAATGAGGAAGCGTGGCCTCACAGCATGAACACTGACTTTTTAGCCAGCTATAATTATGGTCTCTGTTTAGAAAATGTCACCGAATTTAAGTTCCCAAAATATTTTCAACATGGAATAAAAATAGAAACCAGTCCTTAACTCTAAGCCATGCTGTATTGTGGCTAAAGTCACAGGCAATAGCAGAAAAGAATGAAACTTGGCCTTTTTGTCGTGGTAATAAGAGCGAGTATATCCAGGCCCTTCTTTTATAAGAAGATGAAGAGCCAAGGTCACCTCCCTGAGACGTCACAACTTTCCTGAGTTGAACAAAAGAGTGTCAACAGGGTGAGCTAATTCTTCCCAGGGCTTCACTGTGACTAACCTGGGTTGAGGATGTGGCATTTGCCTGGCATGCATGGAGCACTGGGTTCTACCCTCGGTACCTACAAAACCATCATGAAAGATACAAAGGAAAGATGGGGAAAAGAGGATGGGCATGAGGAGAAAGGTTCCTTCCAGGAACTATTTATAGTAAAGAAGCCAGACATAGGGTTACAAATATTCAGAGTTCATCAGTAAGCAAACCCGTTGCCACTTCCAGTGAGCAGTGCAGGGAGGGGGGTCTCCACTGCTCTGGTGTTAGGAGCTAACCACTTCATCTCCTCCCTGGGTTTGCATGTACACAGCATACCACTGTGTGCTGTTGAGACTATCCTAACAGAGAGCACTATGTGGCACAAACCAATGAACTCTGAAAAAGAGCAAAAGGTTCAAGGTGTGACAGGCTTCACCAAGAGTCACTTCTGACTCAAAGTCCTTTGTGTGTACTAAAGGCCAGATAGGAAACTTAATATTTAATACCTTGATTCTGGATTTTTAAGATTGCAAGTGCACAACAGGCAGCTGAAGTTTTCAATAGAAAGAAACAAGATAAACCAGAACATCATAGAACATGCTTCACCAAATATTTATTTACACATAAACTGTATTTGTGACTTGAACACAAACATACACTCCAAAGTTAAACTTCCTTTGAATGCAATATTTTTAAAACTCAAATATAATACACAAAACTGATGAGGAAAATATCACATAAAAAAGAACTTTAACAAAGAAAGTGCCATTAAAATCCAAGACATGAATTCAAGACAAGAGAAAAATGGTCAGTAATATTCATATTGACTTTAAAAGTTTTGATTCCAGGCTCATCGTGAATTGATTTGGGTCATTTAAATGTTACATACAAATGTTGCTTATCTCGATTACTAGAATTTTTGGAGCTAAACATATTGCCAGCTTGGCAAGCGCCTAGCTCAGCTCCCTTCAATCACCGGGCCCTGTGGGGGGAGGGTATGGGGAGGGTAGGTTAGAAAGGCAAGCCAGCCGGCCTAGATGGACGCAGACTCATAGATGGAGATTGTCCCCAGGGAAGGGCTGGGAGTGAGTGAGAGCAGCTTGGCCTGGGACACAGCCTACCTCGCTTGTTCTGGGAGCCGTGCTTCTTGGCTAAGGCGAGCTCCCTCTGGATTCGGTTCTCCAGGTACTCCTGCTTCTTGGCCAGCATCTCCTCGGTCTCCCGGAGGCGAGCCAGGGCCTCCTGGGCGCTGGGAGCCGTGCGGGTCCGAGAGGAACGGGACCCTTTGAAAAACTTGCCCAACTTGCTCATGGCTGAGGAGTGCGGGGCGAGCGTCCCAGCAATCTGGAGACAGGTGAGCCACAGTCGGAGCCAACAATGCTCCTGGGAATCAACAAGTTGTTTCGGCAGGTGACACCCACTCTCGGGCATTTCCTGGCCCGGCTCGGCCCCGCCCTCGAATAGCCACCCGGGAAGGGGCAGGGCAGCCTGCGCCACCGCCCTCTGGAAGTCAGGGAACCCAGAAAAGTTGGCCAGGAGCAAGGGACTTCTTTGTCTGCACTAGGGACACATCTAAGAGCCACTGCTGAGAAAGTGGCTCAGAGAAAAGCAAATCTATCCAAGGGTGTCTGGCCAGGCCGGAAAGATGTGAGTGCAGGTGGCTCACCTGAAGATGCAAGTGCTCTTTTGAGAGTGTGAGAGAGTTCACAGTGTTCCTGTCTCCAATCTCTTTTCTTATGAGCAAGAATATTCTGTCACGTTCCTCTGAGTGGGTGTCCTATGCAGGACACCGACTTTTCCGACCATGAAGATGTGGGCACAGCAGAGGCTGTGCTGGCTAGGCTAGCCTCTGTATGTGTACAGTCCCGTGTGACGTGTGCTTGGTGATCTTCACAAAACGATTACCACCCCTTTTCTGAAAGGACTTCTGTATGTGCTTAATGGCCATATTCGTTTCTGTAATTAGGAATACCAAACGTACAGTGTGACTGCTGTGTATCCGAACCTTAAATGGGGCTGCTCCTGTGTTTGGATCTTTGTCAAACACCTTTACATGGATATCCAAATAACAGAAAGTAGAAAATACCCTGGAGAAAATAAATCATCTTTCCTCCGTGGTGATTTTATCTGCCTTACCTCTTGGAGGGGAAGCAAAGCCTTTGGTTTGATGCTAGAATACAACTGGAAACCTATTTGAAGTGCTTCGTCAAGAAATGGCCTGCGGCATATTAGCCATTTCCAAGGATTTGCCTAATATGCCACACTGCCGTATTTGAACAACATCATCAGAATCTATTTGTGATCATAAACAAACCACTGCTAGAGACAGCATCCATCAGTGACAAACTCACCTTGATACCTAATACCAGTAAGCCAATCAGTAGTGCCATCATGGCCAATTAATCCATTTGTATCCAACATTGTTGTATCTAGCTGAAATTTTTGCCAAAAATTGAACATTGAGATTACTAGTAACACACATGCACATTTGTGGGCTTGTGCGCACGTTTGCACACACACACACACACACACACACACACACACACACAGCCATAATAGCCGCAGGTTCTTGTATTATCCTACTGACCATCTAAAGCATATGGTTAATAACATGCATTTTACTCTAATTTGTTAAGTGTCCAATGTAACCAGTATTTTTGCTAACTATCGAAAGCTCCTAGAATATGTTTCCTTCCTTACTTTCTTGATCACATCATGCAGCTGTTCCCACTGCTGGACACTTGACCTCCCCTTTATTGGGTGTGTTCTAGATCTAGATCTATGATGCTGGGAAATCCAGCTGGAACTTGCTTTTTGAAGTTGGAAGTAACCATTGTAATCTGTCGGGCACCCTCTGGGTGTCATAGGTACTATCTGCATTATCAACTGTGTGTAGATAGACTTGACAAAATAGCTATTTCTACATGTCTATTGTAATATCTTTTTAAAAGTCCTGCTGACTCATTCATAATTACACAAAGGTGTCTTTGTGAAGCTGCTGCATGTCTACTCTTTCCAGGATAAAAATAGTTTATTTGTTCCAATAGATGAAGTACCTCAGACTCAATCAGTAGCTGGGCCAAATTCACAAAAGCAATCAGAGTGGAAGGGACGCTTCAGGCGTAAATCCTTCTTCGTTGGTCTTACCAGTCCGGTCTGGTGGTGTGCTCCCATAGTTCAAGCAAGCTAGCCTGGGCTGCACAGTAAGATTTCATTCTTTTCATTGTTTATACAACTTCCCCACCAAGAACAGAAACTCATTGAACATTTGTTTAATTAGATAACAAGAAATGAAGGAGAGGTTGTTATGACCTTGAAAATATTAGATCCTATGGGGGCTCCCTCATGGAAAAGACTCATTCTTATCTTAGCACTTTTAAAAGCCTGTCGCACTTCATCCCTGGTGAGGATTATCCAATCCCAGTGGGCCAGCTCTTAACACATATACATACAAGCATGCCTAAACGGGCTCAGCAGGTGTGTGTGTGTGTGTGTGTGTGTGTGTGTGTGTGTGTGTGTGTGCGTGTGTGCGTGTGCGCGCGCACACGTGCACTCGATGTGTGCATGCATGTGCACTTGTGTGCGTGTATGTGTATGCATGTGTGTGTATATATGTATGTGGATTTATAGATAAGTGGATGGGTCAAGAACTTGAGAAGGAATTGGGGGCTCAAGGGAAGAGTTGGGGGAAGGAAATGATGTAAATATAGTATTTGCATACAAAAGTCTCTAAATTTTTTTTAATTAAAAAAGTTATGGATCCCATAAACATTATTAAATTCATGTATACCTAAATAGAAATGTATCCAGTATATTAAATCATTATCTGGTGGTCTACCAATTATACATTTTGTTTGGTGGTGGTGCTGAGAGAACATTGAACACTCCGAACCTGGAACCAAAGGGTAATGAGCTGTGTAACTAGCTCCCTCCTCAGTCGTCCACGAAACGCACACAGACCATCTCTCCATCCTTCCGCTGTGGGGGAAAGCTTAGCGGGTATAATGAAGAACAAATAGAAATGCTTTCTGTTTTCACAGAGCTTGCAGCTTACAGGGAACCCAAAAAGTAAACAAATTGTTTCACAGATAATAGACTTGATAAAGGAGGGTTATAACAATTTCTGAGGAGAAATCTGGGCATTATAACAAACATAGAAAACAGATCTTGTCATGAAATCAAAAAAGAGCATGGGGAAAAGGGAAAACTAAGCTGTTATTTGAAAAATGAAAAGAAGTCACAAAGTTTGCACAGGGAAATTAGTGCCTAGTAAATGAATTTCCTTCATGCACTTAGTTACTGTTTTCCTTGAGTAGATTTCTTAAAGATTTATTTGTATTGTTATTATCTTTGAGTGTGTATGCAGCTGTGCACACTCGAAAGTATCCTCAGAGGCCAGAACAGAGTCAGATCCTTTGGAGCTGGAGTAGAGGTGGGTGGCAACCACCCAATAAGGATGCTAGGATCCTAACTCGGGTCCTCAGGATAGAGCTGTGTACTGCCCAGTTTTATGTCAACTTAATACAGGGTACAGTCACCTGAGAGAAGGGAAACTCAGTTCAGGAAATGCCTCCCTCCATAAGACTGGGCTGAAGACAGGCCTGTAGGGCATTTTCTTAATAAATGATTAATGCTGATCCCAGTTCATTGTAGGGGGTACCATCCCTGGGCTGGTGGTCCTGGGTTCTGTATGAAAGCAAGCTGAGCAAGTCATGAGGAGCATGCCAGCAAACAGCACCCCTCCACGGCCTTTGCATCAGCTCCTGCTTCCATGATGTTACCCTATATGAGTTCTTGCCTTGACTTCCCTCTATCAACAATGGCTCTGGGTATGTAAGTCAAACTTTGTTCTCCCCAAGTTACTTTTGGTCATTGTGGTCATTTGAATAAAAATGCCCCCTAACTGGCTCATAGATTGAAAGTTTGGTCATTAGGAAATAGGAGGTGTGACCCTGGAGTAGGTGTAGCCTTGTTGTAGGAAGTGTGCCACTGGGGGTGGACTTTGAAATTTCAAATGTTCAGAAAGATGGCAGTCTCCCTGTCCCTGTCCCTGTCCCTGTCCCTTTCCCTCTTCCTGTCCCTGTCCCTGTTCCTCTCCCTCTCCCTCTCCCTCTCCCTCTCCCTCTCCCTCTCCCTCTCCCTCTCCCTCTCCCTCTCCCTCTCCCTCTCCTTCCATATCCCCCACCTCACTCTCACTCTTTCTCCCAAGATCTGAATATAGAATTCTCAACTAACCTCCTTAGCACCATATCTTCCTGCAAGTTGCCATGCTTGCTGCCGTGAAGATAATGGACTAAACCTCTGAACTGTAAGTTAGCCTGAATTAAACATTTCTTTAGTTTCCATGGTCACAGCAATAGTAACCCTAACTAAGACAGCCATGTTTTTTCGTCATGCAATAATAACCCTAACTTAGACAAGCAAGAGTGCTCTTAATCACTGAAATCACTTAAATCATGGCTCTATAAAGCTTTGAGTGTATTTTCTATTCTCTATGCATTTTTTGCAGCCTACATTCTTGTCAAGGCATGATGATTAATAAAGTAGTATATTGTTCTATAATATGAAAGAACACTAAAGAGAATTTTAATACAAAATATATTATACACGAAATACCCAAATATTATATTAGAGTTTGAAGGAAGTCCATAGAAAAGAATGCTAAGATTTCCTCTGAAGGCACACAAAGTTCAGATCACATGGGGTCTGTACTATGCAGTAAGGGTCTCATATTTTAGCAAAAAAGATAAAAATCAATGGATACTTAAAGAATCTAGTCAATGATTTATAATCCAACAGAAAACTACGTCATCCACTGTAGTGTGTACTACTTTCAAGACCGCATGTGGTATGCAAACAAAGCACATTTACATTAAAAATCATTCCCTTCCATTAATACATAAGTTCAGTGGGAGAGAGATGATGCTTCCCAGCAAGTAAACCATCCACACATACATTAGTGTTTAACCCAGCAGTGAGATATAGAAAAGAAATTTGTAAATCAATGATTTAGAAACTGAAAATAACACATTAATCTTCATTCAACACTCATCTGACAAATGTGGTTTCATAAAGAGTTCTCAGCATCTGGAGTATTTTTCATTTTCTAATCTCAATTGATCTCAGCTAATAAGGGGCCTCTTGTTCAAAAGAATGATCTTGTTCAAGATGATTTACCATGGTTAAGATGGCAAAGGAAATTGGAAATTTATAGATCTGTTAAAGAGACCTAGATGTCAAGCTAATTGATACATTTTGGCTACCCTTTGAAATTGCATCCATTTTTAGAATGTCGAATGAGCTCTCTAAAGCAGCAAAGAAGAATCACCCTTTAAACAGACTGCAGAACAGCATCACATAGTTACCCATTATGCAGCTCAACAAGCATGTACACATTCTTTCCATCAGAATTTCT